CTCTCCACTCAGCCCTATCCTGGATAGGCAGGGCAAAATTCTCCCTGGGGTCCTGCCCCCACCTCTCTGGAAACTAGGAGATCTCAGCCTGCGTGAGGCTGAGAAAGAAAGTCAAGTTTGCATCTCTGGGTCGCCCCTTCCAACTCCCAGTAATGCCTGCTGGCCCTTCGGACAAACGTCCTTCTCGCTTCTGGGGCTCCTGGAAACACAGCTCAATCTTTTCCCATCTTATCTCTTCACCTGGATTAGAGAGGCTGTATTGTGTACAGGAGAGAGCCTGATTTGGGAACCAGACATAGGTTCAAATGCTGACTCCACCTTCAGAGCCAGCAAACTTTTCTGAGTGTGTACACAAGTCTTGTGATTTTTTAAAAATAGGCAGGCATGTCCCAGGGAGGTGTATCACAATGACCAGCTGCAAAGAGAGAGATGGATAGTAAATTATATGTACTCCCTGAGTAATATATTTCACAACTTTGTCATTGAAAGTTATAACTAGAGTAAGGCACCATTGTGAGTAGGATATATTCTATTCTGTAAGTATTTTAAGAGAGGGGCAAAAACTGCCCCCAAAACTACTGAGCTAGAAACTCCATGGTTTTCAGCCTTGGCTGCATTTTAGAATCACCTGAGAAATTAAGAGGAGATACTGATGCCCAGGCTCCATCCCAGACCTCAGTAAAATCATCCCCAGATGACTGTGAAGTCCAGCCTAGGGTGAGGACTAGCTGATCTACCTCTTGTGACCCTTCTGACTCTGGTTCCAGTGCCTAGGCTGTAAGATAATTTTGTATATATACATGTTTACATCATGATTTAATGTTTTCAACCTATTGTTACATTTCTATTTGGTTGAATTTCTCCAAGCTCTGATCCTTCCTCAGGGTTCAGACTTTATGACCAATGAGGTCATTTTTCAAGACATGGTTTCTTCTGCCTTCACACAGTGGGCAATTCTCAACCACTGGAAGGGAAGAGGTGAAGGAGCTTCGGTCAGTGGCTAAGTGGAGTAAGGCCCACAGAACAACAACTTCAATGTTGTGAACTTCAACTGGAGGTGGAGTTGTTTCTGAATGGAAAAAAAAGTGAGTTTAAAAACAATATTAGTATTATTATTTACTTAACAGGGCTGCAATACCAGTAAGTTCAAACAATGAAATGAATAAAAATCCCCCCCCCTTTTTTACCTTGGCTGGATGCATTATGTATTCACTATCTATCGCTAAATAATAAAGTACCCCCACAGCTTTGAGTCTTAAAATACCAACAATCTATTATGTCTCATGGTTTCTGTGGTCAGGAATTCAGACAGAACACGGTAAGGACAGCTTGTCTTTCCTTATAAAGCCTGGGGCCTCAGCTGGAAGAACTTAAAGTTGGGAACTGGAATCATCTGAAGGCGTGTCTCACGTATCTGGCAGTCGATGCTGGCTATAGGTGGGAACACCCACATGTGTCCTCCGCATGTGGCCCGGGCTTCCTCACAACATGGTGGCTGAATTCCAAGCACAAGTGATCTGAGAGCAAGGAAGCCACGTGGACTGCCTACTGCTTTTATATTCTAACCTAGGATGTCAAGCAGTGTCATTTCTTTCGTTTCTACCATTGGTTAAGGCACTCACAAAGGTCTGTTCAGGCTCCAGCGTAGGAACATAGACTCATCTCTTTCTGAAGGAACATTAATGTCATATTGCAAGAAGAGCATGAGAGATGGGATATGTTAGTGCAGCCATCTTTCAAAAAGCCAATCTAACCCACATTATCTTTTAATTTTCTTATTTAGGTTTTAGATTCCAAAAGTAATGTGTTCATCATAAGAAAAAAACCTCATTAAAAATCCAGAATTTGTACACCAGAGTAGATTTCCTCTCCCACTTGACTATCTCAATCCCACTCCCTAGAGTTAATCATTGTTAACAGATTGATGTGTGTTTTTCCATACAAACTATGTATATGTATACACTGTGTTATATAAAATAACTACACATTATTCTGCAACTTGGTGTTTTTACTTATTATGTGACGAACAGAGTTCCATGTTAGTACATATAAAAACACCTAATTCTGTCCAATGCTGGCTACCATAGAATGGCTGTACCATAAATTATTTAATAACCTGTTAATGGACATTTTGCTTCTATTTTTTTAAACTATTACAGATTAATGATGCAGTGAACATCCTTATATTAGGTCAGATAGGGTAGTATGTTAAAAATCCTTTGTTCTGCAGACACTTCTCCAAAGAGGACATCCAGATGGCCAACAGACACATGAAACGATGCTCAGCATCCCTCCTCATCAGGGAAATACAAATCAAAACCACACTGAGATACCACCTCACGTCAGTCAAAGTGGCTAAAATGAGCAAATCAGAAGACTCTAGATGCTGGCGAGGATGTAGAGAAATGGGCACCCTCCTACACTGTTGGTGGGAATGTAAACTGGTGCAGCCCCTCTGGAAAACAGTGTGGAGGTTCCTCAAAGAATTAACAATAGAACTCCCCTATGACCCAGCAATAGCACTGCTAGGAATTTACCCAAGGGATACAGAAATGCTGATGCATAGGAGCACATGTACCCCAATGTTCATAGCAGCACTCTCCACAATAGCTAAAACATGGAAAGAGCCTAAGTGTTCATCATCAGATGAATGGATCAAGAAGATGTGGTTTATCTATACCATGGAATACTACATGGCAATGAGAAAGAATGAAATCTGGCCATGTGTAGCAACATGGATGGACCTTGAGGGGGTTATGCTGAGCGAAATAAGTCAGGCAGAGAAGGACAAATATCATATGTTCGCACGTATAGGAGGATTAGGAGGAACTTGAAAGAAGAACAAGGGGGAGAAGAAGGGGGGAAATGGTGGGGGAAAGGGAGAGAGACAAACCATGAGAGACTCTTGAATGCTGACAAAAACTGAGGACTGATGGATGTGGGGGGAGGGGGGATGGGTTTTGTTGTTGTTTTTTTTGGGGATGAGCACTGAGTGTTATGTGGAAACTAATTTGACAATAAACTATTTGAAAAAAATTAAAAATAAATAAATAAATAAAATCCTTGTTAAAAAAATCCTTTGTTCAAAGGATATACAAGGGTACTGTTTTTCAATACAGCATAAGTGGGTTTTTTAAAAATGTCATTGTTATAAGATAAATCTACATTAAGCAAGATGGATAGGTTTCTCTTGCCTTAACATGAAGAAAAGAAACAAATATTTGCTCTTAGGTTTGAAGATGCCTATAAGCTTTGAAGGGAACTTATCATTTATTGAGAAAATAATGAGTAACAGAGAAAAGGTGGTTATGAAGAGCGGTGTGGATTTCCTTTTCTAATTTTTTTATCTCAGGCTGAAATGGAAGTGAATGTGGATTCTTTACAGTTCACACAGACATTTAGAGGGAGGCTCATCAGGAAATGATAGCAAATAGGAAACCAACCTGAGACAAAAAAAAAAAAAAATGAAAGTGTCATGTGTGACCCCAAACTGAATAATAAAAATGAGTCTACTGGCCATACAGATGTAATATACAGGTAGTCAATTACAATAAAACGCCGGTGTCATCCTGCCCACCTATCTACCCACTGTTTACAGATGGCTAACATGTAATTTTTTCTGGGAGTCTTTCCTCTTGCAGAGATGGGCAATTAAAAACTTCTTTGCTGGGAATGAAGTTCCGCCACGCTACAGCATGAATGAACCTTGAGGACATGCTAACTGAAGTAAGCCAGACACAATTGTGTGTGGCAAATATTGTCTCATTCTGCTTATGTGAAATACCTTGAACAAGCAAATTGATAGAGACAATAGATTAGAGGTGACCATGGGCCGAGGAAGGGTGGATGGGGAATTATTGCTTAATGGGTTCAGAGTTTCTGTTTGGGGCGATGAAAAACAATAGCAGTGATGGTTGCTCAACCTAGTGAATGTAATTAATGCCACTGAACTGTACTCTTAAAAATGATCAAAATGGCATTTTGTGTTATGTATCTTTCCATACCAAAAAAGCCTTTACTGGAGCAGGAGATGTTGGGGCTCTGTCAGTGTTCCCATGGCTTTGCCTTCCCTTTTGTTTTTAAAAGAACAACCTCTATTTTTAGGGATTTTCACACAAAGGCTCATGTGGGCGTGGGAAGTACTCCCAGCTGCCCTCCTGTTTTCAGAAGCCCACATGGAAGCCTAGCAAGTTATTTAAGGATTAGGAAATATGCCAGATTCGAAGTGGAGATAATTTAATCCTCTGTTAATTCAAGGGCCCCCCCCCCGGCAAGCGGAGTCCTGGAAATCTTACTTCACTCCCTGGGGAAGCCAGTTTTGAGTCTTGCTGAAGGTGATGAGGGCAATAGAATTGCACTTCCTTCGAGCTGAGGGTCACTTGGTGGAGTAGCCCGCCGCTGGGAGGTGGGAGGGAACCTCTGGAGCGCAGTCTCCTCTCCTGCTCAGAGGCTTCTGCACCCGTCCAAGGGACCACGGGGCCAGTGTGGGAGTTGTGGGCCCTCCAGCTCCCCGCCCTTTCTCACTCTGGTGTGCAGGATTGGACTATTTCTCTGCAGCTCGTAGGCTCGCGCCCCGTCCTATTTCCCAGGGCTGGCCACCTCAGCTGGTGGCACTGAATTGGACGAGGGCTGCAGCGGCGGTGGCCGGTCTGGTCAAGTTTGAGTGCTAGGGGAGCCCCCACTTTCCCCCCGGCCGGGAGTCCAGATTCCCACCGCCTCCTCCCAGGCCTGGCAGCTCTGTCGCGGAGCCCTCCAGGGAGGCGCTAGGTGTGCGGGCCCGACCCCTGGGGCGGGGAAGTCTCGGCAGCCCTTCCTCTCCACCTGACACCAAGACTCCAGAGTGAAGGCGTGTCTGGGGTGGCCGAGCCCGGGCGGGACCCGCCTCTCCAGCGGGACAGGGGGACCCGCGCAGGGCACACCTGGTCAGCCACGTGGCGGGGCGGGGGGCGGGACAAGGCGGGACTCGCGCTAGGAGCTCGCTGACCCTGCAGCGGGTGACGGTGAACGGTACTGGTGGGTGGGGAGTGCACAAGGTGGTCTTGGGGACGACTCCTCTCCCCGGAGGAGCTGTATCCTGTAGTAAGGGGATCCGGCGTTGCCACCTGCTCAGGTAATCCCCGCCCCTCCCCCGGCCAGAGTCACCTGGCGCGCGTGTGCACCTGAACTTCTGTCCGAGGCACTCAGACGCGCGCGCGCCTCCCCGCCCAGAAGAGGAATGGTGGGTTCTCCCCAGGATCCAGAGCCAGGTGTGGGCTGCTCCATCTGGGGTTCTCAGAAGTGGGGGTCCTGAGACACGCGGAGTCAGGGCGGCGGCTCCCCGGAAACCTGGGGATCCTTTTGAGCAGACCAAGGGCCCGAGCGGCGGGGTCGTGCGAGGCCCAGCGCGCCTCGCTCCAGACCCGCCTGTCTGCGCGTGGGCAGCGGCCGAGAGCCCCGGAGACATTTCTGGAGTCTCCCTCGCACCCATCTCGTCTCCACAGCCCGCCAAATTCTTGCAGTCTCCCTGCCCCCAGCCCCCATCTCCTTTCCTTGGAATACTCCTCGGAGTGCTTCCCCTTCCTTGCCTTCTCTGGCTGCTGTCATTGGTCATGTTCTTCTCACATGACAAACTCTGCCCCCATAATACCCCTCCTCTCATTCTCCCTTTCCTCCTTCCAAAATGTCAGGAGTCCTGTCCCTTTCTCATCCCTATGCTGGGGAAAGGGGGCACACAGACGGGGCATAAGGTCGCTGCCCCAAGGAAAGCTGGTTCCAGTGCCAAGGGGAAGACTGCGCCTCTGAGGAGAACCAAGCCCTGATAATGATGCTCAGTCCTCTTTTTCTTACCTGCCCTCTTCACTCCCCTCCCCTTTCTGGCCCTGCTCCAGAGGGGACCCCCAAAAGAAACTCCTTATCTCCCCATGGTCCAATCTATATTCACTCACTGCCTGCAGCCAGTTCTAGGCAGCCAGTGCTGCCCCTGCTGTGGACAGAGGGGTTCGCGGGGATGAGAGAGGAGTGTTAGACTGTGTCCCCTAGGGCTGGATAGACTGGCAGCTGGCTCTGACCCCCATACTGAAGGAGCTCACGGAAGAAAGCTCTGGGGGCAAGTGTGGCTCCAACACAGCAAGGTTTGTGCACAGGGAGGTTCCGAAGGATGTGTGGAATCGACTTGGGCACCAAAGAGAGGAAAGGGGGTTTTGAGATGAGGTAGAACAAGGTCTCTTCCTCAGTCAGGGCTGTGTGTGGTGTATATGCGAAGGATGGGCCCTAAGGATGGAGGGAAGAAGAGCCAACCTGACCAAGGATGGTGTTTACCTTTCAGAGGGGTCTCCCCACCCAGACCACCAGGACCCCATTTCCAGGAGAACAGCCCAGATGTCTCAAGTGCAGGAGCTCTTCCACGAGGCAGCCCAACAGGTAGGCTTGTGCCGTGTGGGGGTCTGAGATAGAACCAGGGGCCCCAGACAGGAAGCTGAAGGGAAACATTATAGTAGACTATTTTAAAAGTAATTATCTCAGAAGTTTATTTTGGTATTCTCACTTCATCAAGAAAATATTAAGCCATCTCTTAACCATTTGTGTGCAGAAAATCTTCTTCGGTATCACTGGTAGTGGATTTTGAATCCTTAGCATTCCTTCTTGCCCCATGGAGGTTTTCCATGAACAGAATGAGGTCTCGGATAATATGAACTCCTTCTACTTTTGAATCAGACCTGTGTAGGAAGGTAAATTTATTTCTGAAACATTCATATATGCTGAAGCCACATGGATTGCTGGATTTCCCGATGTCTGCAGGGTTGGGTTTGTTTTTTTGTTGTTTTTTTTTCCCTTTCCCTGTTGATCATTAGTTGTAGTAAATAGTCTACACAGCTATGGAATTGAAGGGGTTCTCTGCAGAAATACAGTTAATCCCTTCAAAAAAGCCTCACAGGAAATGACCTGCAGTAGTCTTGCTGTTTAATGATCACTCAACCTTGAAGTTTTCACCACCCCTTGGATTTCTCTCATGCTTTGTAGAGAAGGGCACTATAATGGGGGTGAGGGGGGATGAGCCTACTACAAAGGGAGAGAATCAACTCAAGGCCTCAAACAATAGCAAGAGAGCAGGCTCCAGAACCTGGGGGTCTTGAGCCAAGGGGCAGATGTTGGTGAGGCAGAGGGGGTTGTAAATTGGTGGGGGAATCCAAACTGGCCAGTTACCCTCTCTTCAGGTTCATGGGTACATGTGAAAAGTGCAGCGTGGTGGCTGGCAGGTGGTGAGTACTCCGCACAAGGTACTGCCCCTCTCCCTGCTGGCAGGCCCAGGGCTGTACCCCACACCCTCGTACTTAGCTCCTGACACCCAGCTCTGCCAGTTTTCATGCTGCTGAGAAGTGAGAGACTGGAGACTCAGCAGAATGGTTGTCCAGAACTGTTCTTTCCTTGGTGGAAAGGCCTATGGCCATGCTCTTAGTATGGCTGAGGACCATTAGAGAGACTTTGATTTGTCAGGGGTCTTCACATTTATTTAGCTGGACCAGCTTCTCACATGTTTTCTCGGATATGTAAGGCTATACGTGAGTGTTAACACACTTCACATGTATTTGTGGACCACTTCTGAAATAATGGCTGCCATGTGGGCATGAGAAAGATGCCTACACAGAAAATATGAGGCTCTGATCTGCAGGGATTCCAAAAAAAGAGACAAGACATTCTTGATTCATCTTTGTGAGAAGGATCTGTCGAAGCTCAGCTGAACCCCCCTCTCCCCTGTTAAAAACCTTTAGTGGTTCTGTGTGTCCACCACTCAGAGTTCAAACTTTTTTTTTTTATTCTTTTTTTTTTTTTTAATGTTTTATTTATTTCTAGGAGAGAGAGGGAGACAGCATGAGCAGGGGAGGGTCAGAGAGAGAGGGAATCACAGACCGAAACAGGCTCCAGGCTCTGAGCTGGCAGTCAGCACAGAGCCCGACGCGTGGCCCGAACCCACGAACCACGAGATCATGACCCAAGCGAAAGTTGGACGCTTAACCGACTAAGCCACCCAGGCGCCCCCTCAGAGTTCAAACTCTTTAGCTTAGGTCCTGCACAGCCTGATCCTGCTGGAGTTTTGAGCCTGGTCCCTTGACTCTTCTTTACGCCCCACGTGCCAGCTGCAACTCACCACTCCCCAGGCTCTGTGCTTGTGTCCCCTTTGGTGGTCTTTGCTGATCCTTCTCTCTTAACTGATTTGTCACTGGAACCCTCCAAATGCCTGAGGCAGTGCCTGGCATTTAAGTGGATGATAAATGTTAGTTGGCTAACCAAATGAACAAGCAGTAGATAACCATAATGCAATTGTCATAACTGCACCAAGAGAGAATTTCTTTTATTTTTATTTATTTTTAATATTTTAATATTTTTTTTGGGGGGGAGAGAGAGATAGAACGTGAATAGAGGAGGGGCAGAAATAGAGGGAGACACAGAATCTGAAGCAGGCTCCAGGCTCCAAGCTGTCAGCACAGGGCCTGATGTGGGGCTGGAACTGATGAACCGTGAGATCAGGACCTGAGCCAAAGTTGGATGCTCAGCCAACCGAGTCATCCAGGTGCCCCAAAAGAGTTGCTTTTAAAAATGTGGTGGATACAAAGGCCTTGGTATCCCCTCTGTCTATCTCCCTCTCCCTCAATCTTCAAATATTGAGGGACTGGACAGTGTTCAGTGTCAAGGCCTTTGGTGTTCACACATTTGAAATTCACACATTTGGAATTCATTCTTTTTCTCTGTCTCCCTTGCATTGTCTTGTCCTGGGCACCATTTCTGGATTGCATTATTCATACTCTCCAAACCTCTTTCTCCACATGGCTCCTTTTCTACAGCAGAAATCTATACATTTGACTGTTTTGCTAAAAGCCTTTCCATGGCTTCTCACTGCCTTCAGAATTCAGCTCCAACTCTTGGCCCAAAAGCCTCCCATGATCTGACTCAGCTCCCCTGCTCCAGCCATGTGCTCTGTCACTGCAGTTTCTGTGTGGCACTGAAACAGACTTTTCCTTTCCTATCTCCCTTAAGGTTGTGAACCGGTAATTCATTGTTGTACCCTCAATACCTGTCATTAGCGTTTAGCATATAGAAAATGTTCAGTTTGTGCTGGCTCTACTTAACTGAACTCAACTCACTAGAGATTGGGGGGAGCTGCCATTTGTATTAGGTGTCGAAGTATTGGTGGAAGTAGAACATATATGGTGAAATCAGGCAACACATCCCAGGCTGAGCAGGTAGGAAATTGATACTACCGATTGGTGGGTGCTTATTGTATAATGAACATTTCATATGCATTACTTAATTTAATCTTCATAACACAGTCTGGAAGATATATGATTATTTTGGTTTGACAGATGAGAAAAACAAGACACTTAGAACCCAAGCATGCTTATTGCCAAGGCCTTTCTTCTCTTTGCCTCCTGCCCCAGTGGTAAAGCAGAGCCACTCAGATGGCAAGTCAGAGGCCTGTGTGGAGAGCAGATTGCTGTTTGGGTAGCTAACATGTGTGCAGCTGAACTCTGGGAGTGGCTCGCCCTCTAGAAGTTTCCTGTGACCCTTTCTCTACCTTCACTCTAGCCTTGGGAGTCAGGAATTCTGCTAGGAGCTTTGGAGCTTGAAGGACAGATGAATATGTGCCAAATCCTTCAGTTCAGACCTGCTCTTCTCTTCATCACTGTGTCTAGAAAGTAGCTCTCAGGATATTTGACCACAGTGGGGATGCTTGTGAATTAGGTGGAGAGGTAAATGAATGGATTCTTGGCTTTGCTTTAATTGTCTTGAGACCAGATGGTGGGGTGTGTGTGTGTGTGTGTGTGTGTGTGTGTGTGTGTGTGTGTGTGTGAGTAATCAGTGGACCAGCTGGGGAGAGGCTGTAGATCAGGTTAATAGTATGGTGGTCAGGCGTACATGGGCTGCCTGGATTCAAGTACTGACTAACACTTTGTGACTTGTGACCTTGGACAAGTTACTTAACTTAGCTAAGCCTCTGTTTCCTCACCTATAAAATGGCTACAGTAATAAGACCTACTTTAGAGAGTTACAAAGATTAAAAGAGGTAATTCATGTAAATATTTAGTGTAGTGCTTGGTTTAATAGTGAGCAGTCAGTAAATGTTGGATAATAATAAAACTAGGGTGAGGAGTATGTATTTGTTTCAGAATGTAGTGATAATAAGTAATCAGAAGGTTCAGTTGGGGAATAAATGCAGAACTCAGCACAGCAAAGACTTGAGTCCCAAATCCAAAATTATTCCAGTGGCTAAAACCAGAATGTGGTGCATCGACCAGGACAGCCTGCTGGGTGGGTGTCCACTGAGGAGGATGGGATCCTTTCTAGACCCAGATGGGTATGGAGTGGCTTGAGAATGTGTGTGAGTATGTGTGTATGTGTGCATGTTTGAGAATCTACTGAACTTCTGGCAGGTATAGGTCTTGTTCTGGGACCCTCTGTCTTCAGGTGCTTCACTAATGTGACTTAAACCTGAGAAGCTGGGTTCCATATTCTGACTTTGTCACTGGATGTGCCAGGCCTTTGGGCAAGTTATTCAGGGTTCCAAGTCCACTTCCACACTGTGAGATGGGGTGGGAATACCTGATTTTCAAGACTCTTATCCATATGTGGAAGGATCTGGCCGAGAGCCCGTCACATGGTGAGCACTAAATACAGTGTGTGTTCAGTGACTGGATGAAGCCGATTTCACACTGAAACCCAGTAGAGTACACTGTGTGTGAAACATGGGCCTGGAAAGCTAAGGAGCAGCTGGAGCCAGAGGGAGGAGAATGGAAGGCTAACAACCGTATATTCTGTGCTTGTCTCTGCCAGTCCCTGGACAGAGAGGACTGTGGTGGACATGGTATGTCAGGAAGATTAAGCTGACAGGAGAAAGCAGGTGGCCTGAGATGGAGAGAGATGGCAAATAGACATGCTGGGTGAGGTCTGAAGTCCAGTAGGATCAAAAGCTTTTAGCTTTGGGAATAGTGAGAAAATGGAGCTCAGCTTACCATGGATTTATTGAGTGCATATTATTACCAGGATCTCCAGTAATAGCTATTGTTGGAGATATTAAAACTGAAATCTCTTAACTACTATGGAATAAGGAATGCCTCCAACTAATCTGAGGGTCTTGTCTTGTCTTCTCTCAGGGTTGGATGGTCTCCAGAGCAACTTAAAGGGGACTTGTGTTATGCTATGGGATGCGAACAAGTCACCAAAACCTGCAAATTAGCTAGTATGAGTGATTTGTATTCTTTCCTCCCATCTAGCTTTCTTCCAGAGATTTGGCTCCTGCAGGAGTGAGTCCATGAGGACCCTTCTCTAGGAAATCTGGGTGCTAAATTCTGGCTGGCCTGAGCTTATCACCCTGGAAAAGAGCCCAATGCAGACGCAGGAAGTAGGTGCCCTGGTAGAGCAATGGC